TAGCTAATCTACATCTCATAGTGATGTTAAACTTGCTCATGACCGAACGCCATATCAAAGACGTAGCCGTGTAAGTGTGTCAAGTGCTGCGAAAACCCACCTAACTGCAGAACTTCCTACAAAAGATTCTACCGCCTTACCTAACGTTCCAGACATGCACGAAAATAAAATACCCTTAAATAATAAAGCTTCTCCTAGTAAACCCAGCATTGAAGCAACTATGATCATAAACTTAGATGCATCTTTAGAGTTCTGCTCACTAGACATATCATCACCATAGTCAGCAGTACAACTGGAACTCGTCTTTCCAAATCATATCATTTATAGGTACAACATTTTCTGTCTTTCTTTTCCTATTCTCTCTCTTTTTTCCGTTATGTGCTGTTTTGTTTCTTTCTCTCGCTTACGCCAGTAAATATGACAGCTCCTACTTTTCTAACACCTTCAAACACTGTTCAGCGTTGGCTTTGCTACCGATATGCCAATATGTTGTTGTCGTAATGAACTGAGATTTACTTAATCTATGTAGAATTTTATTTATTGATAATCTACTAGCTGGGTGCAATGGCGTAGTAAAATGCTGAGAATTCCATTCTGTATCACAAGTACTGTTTATGGAATAAAGCAAATTACTATTATCTGCCAGTGCCGCTACCACTGTTAAGCAAAAGGCTAGGCTCGAGCAAGTATCACTAAATATAACTTCCCCAAGTAGCCCTAAGACCAGCGTGCACACAAAACGAAGTAACGTAACACTACCATCCAGAATACCTGTAATCAAACCCGTTATTGACAGGTTTCTCAGCAGTAAATCCAATAACCCTAACTTAAGCAACTCCAATCCTACCATTAACCCAGGGAAGCTGAATAAGTCTTCATACTGCCATAAATATGACGTCAGTGAAAACAGAGGTAACCCGTCCGTTCATCCAACACCGAACAAAACTTCATCCGATAGACACAACAGACGCTATCTCTCTGGACACCCTGAAACTAAGTCCAAACCCTACCGGCAGGCATACACCTATCCCACACAACTCTCCTATATGTGGCTAATATAGACGAAAGTGTGGTCCAGAGACCTCTACAACAAGGGACAAGTGGGTTAGGCTTGTTTCCTAGAGGTGGCCTTCTGACTCACCATATCCTCGGAAACCACCGGATACAGGTTACCCAAGATCACCGATGGACTAATATTTACAAAAATAACTTAATTACACAAAATATTAGTCATAACTGCGATGCACGTAACTTTACTCTGGCATACTATCCACAAGAAATACCTGCCTCCCCTTCATCCAATCCTAACTTTCTCAGCCCCAATATTGTCGCAAATAGCACACATGCTGTCAAGCCACTTATCTCCGGAAGGAGGGGCGGTGAACTGCAGTCACGGTATTATGAACACTTCGCACCCTCCAAGGTAACCAGCAATAGCACCTCTCTGTGATGATACTGGTGTAGTGCACTTTTCCAGCACTGCCAGTGAGTTGCCGGTGTCTGAGTTAGCACCCATCAAACAATCTACTCCAGACTCTATAAGCCTTGAGGATGACGTTTTTAAAGATATATGCGATTGCACCGTCATCCCTGACTATCTCTCATTTAGTCTCATCAATGTTCGCTCCTTACTCAACAAAATGTTTGACTTCACGACATTATCCTTAATTTGCAACCCGTCTCTCATAATGATTACTGAAGCATGGTGCACTCCTCAGATTTGCGATAAAGATATTTCTATTGATAACTATTACGTATTCGGAGGCAACGGAAACCAAGGCAGAGGAGGAGCATGTGCTATGTATATCAGGTCTGATATTAAGGCCACACAGTGCTTTTACCCAGAGCTCATCACAGATGATGACTCAGTCTGGGCTATTCTGAGACTGTCTCACTCCGATTCCTATCTTATAGGTTGCATCTATCATCCCCCATGCTCAAATGTTGAAGGTGATATGAAGCTTGTTAGCACTTTCGCTTACGCCACTTCACTACCTCACACAGCTAAAGTTATGCGTGGGCACTTTAATATGCCTGATGTAGTCTGGCAACCACTTTGCTCACCAAAACGGTGAAATGAATTTTTGAACATAACAGAAACAAAAAACTGGCGACAACACGTACAGCATCCTACCAGGCTATCTAAGATATTGAATGTGCCGAGTACAACTCTGTGGTTGCTGCCAAGAAACTCTGCCAACTCGGAGGATAGTGGGGATAATACCACTAGTGAAAACTAGATCTAAAATCTTAGCCTGGTAGGATGCTTTACGTGTTTTCGCCAGCCTTTTGTTTCAAGTTTGGGGCGGATACATGTTCTATATATAGCTAATCTTGCTTCTTGGGTGTAGAAGTTACGCAGCACAAAGCCAATAAGTCGTTTACAGTAGGATACGACCTTATTTGCATGATCGGAAAAGGTTAGATCTGAGTATGTTATCCCGAGATCTGTGACAGTGTTCAGTTTCGAGACGAGCTTACCGTACATATATAGGCACATTCTCGGTTTCCAGCGTCCCAGGTGGGCTATACCGCACTTGTCTGGGTTGAAAGTCAGTTGCCACTTTTCGCTCCAATCGCCTAGATTGTTTAAGTCATGTTGGATTTTGCTTTCGACGCTCTTATCATCGTACCCATAATCACATACTATCTTGAGATCATCTGCAAAGAGGTATGGCTTGCTATACTTGATCACAGAGACTATGTCATTTGTAAATAGGAGGAATAGAATAGGGCCAAGAACACTACCCTGTATTACACCACTATTTATCGGCTTTGATGAAGACAGCTGGTGGTTGATTTTGACTAATTGCTCTCTTTCTGTGAGAAAAGAATTTATCCACTTGAGAAGTTTCCCGGTTATTCCGTAGGATTGGAGTTTTGTTATGAGTCTGATATGTGGGACTTTATCCAGGGCTTTGCTAACGTCGAGAAATAATGTTGTTACCGAATGCCCATTATCAATGCATTGTGTAATGTAGTCAAAATAATCCAAGTGGCAAGTAATACACGACCTTCTACTTAAGAAACCGTATTGGGATGGGGATAGTAGGTCATTTGACAGCGAGTACTGAATGATTTGAGTCTTTACTATATTTTCCATTACACGTGAAACTACAGACGTGATGTTGATGGGGCGGTAGTTGTTGATATCAGCTATAGGCCCGCATTTATGGATAGGTACAATATAAGACTTCTTCCAGCAAGTGGGGTATGTCCCATCGCTTAGTGAAATTGAGTATAACTTGTTTAAAGCTTCCCCTACTCTTCTCCTAACGAGGTATTCACACATATTCAAGATGATCTGGATAGATTGTATAACCGGAGCAATGACTAGCAACTACCATTCAATTCTGGTAAATGTGCTGTCCTATGCTTCAATAACTCCCATCCGAATTTTAGGTTACATCTAGGTGACTGTTTTCTCCAAACCTTCAATTCCATTAAGAACCTGGGAGTTACCTGCTCACAAAACTTAGCATTCAGTCAGTACGCAAAATCACTTGTTTCTAAATGCCGGAGACTCACAGGTTTGTTATGCCGAAAAACGTACACTACTAAGGCTAAAGTCCTCTCATATAAAGTAATGGTTCTTGCAGTACTTGAATAGTGCACATTTGTCTTCGGGTTTATGCAAGGGTATGATAGGGTTCGTATTGAAATCATTCGGCGAAATTTTACACAGTGCCTATTACACAAACTTACGCGAATAGGTGCGAAAAATATGGACTTTGGCCACTCTGGTAAAGGCGCATGAAACTCAGACTAACATTCCTCTTTCGCCTTATACACGGCTACATCATAAGGTGTTATCTAATAGATTTCAACACTACAACCATATGCACTCTTAGGGATCATGCAAATACTCTATCTATACTGCAGTACTGGACAGAACTGCGTCCACGTTTCTTCAAAATACAGTACAGTGCATTATGGAACGAACTTCCACTTACTGTACGTAGTTGCCAATCTCCTACTGAATTCCAACGCCTCCTTAATTAGTTCCTGTCCACAAAAGTGCTTCGGTCTATTTATCCATACTTTACTCATATAGGCTGTTCAACTAATTTTAGTACTACAGACCCAAGTGGAATACTCCTAATTTGAAGAAATTCATTTGCCTCAGCCATCTAAAAAGTGATAAAACCAGCCCAATGTTTCCCACATTGCTTGACCTAAGGTTCGGTTATTCAGCTTATTAGAAATCCTAACAATATTATGTCAAACCGGTTTATGAGGTCATAAGACTATCTATAATTATCCTGGACGTATAATCTCAAAGTGGTTGTAATAATTTTCCATAATATAAGCAAACTGGTACTTTGTAATGTCTAAAGCATGCCATATGAAAAGTGGTCATGAAAACTTAGCAATAATAAGCCCAGCCAACTAACTATTCCCCTCAAACTCATTCAGCTTACTTTTATGGCTAATCGTACCACTATCCATTTCACTCTACTCAGTTGACTATGACATTATTTGCTGTAGTACTCAAAACTCTTATGCCTTTTACTTTTTAAGACGTTTCAACTACTACATGTGCAGCAACCGTTTAACCATTTCGATAGAGGTAATTTAGACTTGGCAAAATAGGACCTACGGAATCGGTAAACTAAAGAAGAACGGCATATCTTCTCGAACTGAATTTCTAGTTCGGCACTCATCGCACCTGTAAACAAATCTATCAATGCGCCTAGTACATCTTTGTATATACATGACACCTCCACATTCACACTTTTTCGACTTTCCTATCAGTCTGTTCTCCAAACAGTAATCAAAAACAAGATCTTGAGGGAATCTGAAACGCAAAAGGTGTACATCATCCATAAGTAGGCCCGGATAGTATGGAGTCACCTTATTGGTTGCTCAAGGTCATTTATCCGTTCGCTAAATACTTTAGAGTCACCCTTCTTTGATTAAGTTACACAGTAATATTCGGCAACTCTAAGGAATAGGAGCCCAAACCGAAACGACCTTGAGAAACCAATCAGGTGACTGTTGTTTCTTCTTGTAAGTGGGTCCAATGCTCATCACATCTCTGAAATTTATACACATATTAACTTGTTCCCTTAAGCTAATAAATGTAAAGTCTATCTTATTTCATTATTGCTATTTCAAAGCCCGCCTCAGTAACGTACAACATATATTAGCCGCAACGCTAACGCAAAAGAAAATCTACCAATCACAACTTGTATAAGTGACCTTCAAGTGCTCAGCTTCTCCGTCAGCCATTTGTGCCGCTTTCCTCTGTCTCAGTTGTTATCGTGTTGTTGTTTTCGGCCTATTCTACGTAAGATAATTACTTTCTGTCTACCGTATTTTTATGTAGTGTCCGCTATACTTATTTTTGAACCAAATAGCTTTAATACATTCTAGTAAATGCAATGAATAGCAGTAGTTATTCATTTATCTATTTTTGTGCACTCATTGTCTTTTTATCACTGATTTATAAAGGTTATATACATTTAAAGTCATATTTAAATTTATTCCCCAGTTAGCTTTAGAAAGCATATCCATCAAAAGAAACCGCTGCGGAAGGGTGATGTGCCAATTCCCAGTGGATGAGGGAATGCAGTGTGATAACTGCAAGAGATGGTTTCATAGTATGTGCAGAAACCTAACTCCTGCAGCATACAAACGCTGCTGCAAACCTCTAGCAAACTGGTTGTGCAATGACTGTTGTAGTACTACTAAATTCCGTATTACAGAAGCCATTTCCACTCTCAGTGGGGTTGTCCGAGTTCGCAGTTTAATGATCCCGAAACCTCTGTGAGTAGGCCGAGGAAGCACCAAAATGAATTGACAGTTTGCTACACAAACGCCCGCAGCCTGTTAAATAAACGGACTGAGCTGGTTAACATAATAGACTCCGGAAACCCGGATGTAATTATTATCACAGAGACATTGCTCACACCCGATATCACTGACAACGAAGTTAACCTGCAAAACTTCGAAGTGCATAGGGTGGACCGACTAAACCGCAAAGGAGGTGGCGTAGTCATCTACCTCAAGAAATGCCTAACCGTGCGTAGTATCGAAGCACTCACTCACGAAAGTGAGTCGTGCGAACTTCTACGTTGCAGACTTAAATGCATAGACCAAGACATTGACCTCATTGCTATGTACCGCAGTCCCGACTGCAGTGCAGATGACTTCCTAATAGAGAAGCTAGGCTCCTGGACCTCGAAATGTCGACTTCTCGTAGTTGGCGACTCCAACGCCCCAATAGTTGACTGGACGAGCCTAACAACTCCATCTTCAGTCAACTCCTTTTATCATAAACTGCTGGAATCTAGTATATCGTTAGCCCTAGTCCAACATATCATTAAGCCCACGCGCTATGAATCACAGCACTCCTCAACTCTGGACCTAGTGTTCTCCCACGGTGAGGATGTGGATCCCATACATCTTCCTCCTTTAGGAAGAAGTGACCATGCTGTGCTCACTTTCAAGTTCACAGCAACGGCTAAAACCCCAGCTCGACCAAACATTTGGAAAGCTGATATAAATGCAATCGTCTCAGCAGTCAACTCAGTAAACTGGTACATCAACCCAGAGTCCCAAGTAGAAGCCGCATGGAACCAATTTAAACAACTTATCGCCCAAGTAACTGAACCTTTCATTTCTTGGTCTGTCCCAAAGAGTCGAAAACATTGTCCCCCATGGATAAACCGAGAGATTCGTAAGTTACTCAGACGTAAACACAAATGTTGGAACTTGTTTGCCACAGTTGAGACTTCTGAGACCAGGCAATTATATAACTCTGCTAGAAATAAAGCTATTGCAGAAATCCGCCAATCAAGGATGAAGTTCAAAGCACACCTGGCTCAAAATGCAAAGGCACAACCTAAGAAAATTTTCTCCTACATGAACTTCAGGAATAAAACATCCAATGGTGTCCCAAACCTGACTATCAACAATGATACAATCGAAGAAGATCAAAAAAATGCAGAAACAATGGCAAACTACTTCTCCCAAGTCTTCACTCAGGAGTCATCACTGCCTATAGGATCAGCTCTCGCTGCATCAGAAGAACATGGGATAGATTCCGTCAACGTCGACCAAGACATCGCGCTCAACTGCCTAATGAAACTAGATGCAGAGAAATCAATGGGTCCTGATAATCTTCATCCAAGGCTTCTCAAGGAGCTATCAGCCGACATAGCCGGCCCTTCGACTACGATCTTCAAGCTTTCTCTCCTAAATGGAGTGTTACCGCGTGACTGGAAAGACGCCACAGTAACCCCCATCCAAAAAGGAGGATCAGGGCAAAGCCCTTCAAATTACAGGCCTATCAGTCTCACCAGCACTTTAATCAAGACACTGGAAAGAATCATCAAGAAAAGCATAATGGCATATCTAGAAAATGAAAGCTTATTATCAAGAGCACAGCATGGTTTACGACGGAACCTCTCATGCCTGTCAAATCTTCTCACTGCAAGAGAAAGCTGGGTCAAATCCAGGAACAACAGAAGACCCGTTGACGTCGTCTTCATAGACTTCAGCAAAGCCTTTGATAAAGTACCTCACAAAAAACTACTCATGAAGTTGGAAAGTCTTGGTATCAAAGGCAGCTTACTAAACTGACTCAGGGAATTCCTCATAGATAGGAGGCAGAGGGTTAGGATCAACTCGAAACTCTCCTCTTGGACAGCAGTACGTAGTCGAGTGCCACAAGGCACGGTACTCGGACCTCTCCTATTTATTTTGTATATCAATGAGTTATCTCTGCTCACCGACTCCCCTATGGTCCTATACGCAGATGACTTAAAAATTTGGAGAGAGCTGAAGGGCAACAGTGACACGTCCACGTTGCAAGAGGACCTCAACAAATTGTCAGAGTGGTCCATAGAATGGATGCTCCCGATAAATGTAGCAAAATGTGCAACCATGCGCATTGGACAAGCAAGCACGAGCTCCTACGAACTAGAGGGAATAACACTTCCATCAGTTCAGACTCACTTGGACTTAGGTGTCATAGTTAGCTAGGACTTAAAAACTACAGCACACTGTCGCGCGGTGGCTGCACGTAGTTTCAGGTCATTATGGGCAATTCGCAGAGCCTTCACTAGAATCACCAGAGATATGTTCACCTCCTTATATACATCTCTGGTGAGGTCAAGACTGGAAAACTGTATCCAGGCCGCCAGCCCTTGTCTAAAAGGGGACGCACACATTCTAGAAAGGGTTCAAAGGAAGGTAACACGTATGGTTCTCGGAATGACTAATTTATCATTCGAGGAAAGACTAGACAGTTCAAATCTCTTCTCCCTTTCATACCGTAGACAGAGAGGAGATTTAATGACAATGTTTAAAATTTTAAATAATGACTACGGACTTGACCTATTCTCTCTTTTCCTCCCCACCTTAGAGGACATAGCAGGAGAGTTCAAAAGCCAAGAAGAAATCATATTGCTGTTGAGTACTGGTTCTCACATCGAGTCATAAACTCTTGGAACCGACTCCCAGAAGAAGTAGTGTCTACAACCCCAACTGATTCGTTCAAGAAGGGTTTGGACAACCACAGAAATCTACTAGAAAAGGATTAACATAGGCTCCAAGTCTTCTATCCTCAACCAATAAATCTGAATCTGAACCGATACCGTAATGTCGCGATTTTTTCATTTGTAACTGCTACTTGTGTATCTATCTATGCATGAGTTCCACAACTCCGAACCAAACTGCATAGGATTGTCAAAAATAGTCATCAGTATACTGTTAGAAATCCTAAGATTCATCATCCTGCTTTCATTCAGTCTCACCGCTAATAACCAGGTGAATGACTTCACAACTAGCAACTATGTTTTTATATTTCCAAGTTTGTACACTGTGACCGATATGAAAAATTTATTTGTTAGTTAGGTTAGTCACAAAAAGTAATTCCCTGTTTATCTTTCTGAAGAATATTGGCCTTTTATGTAACACTCCAATTTTGATACGCCATGTTATTAGGGTGAAATAACGATTTAAACTTGAGTGTGTCTTGAGGTATGTTGTCGTTCTAATGTCCCTTTACACGGACTCCTGTTAGTCTTCATGATAAATATGGTGTCTGTATACAATTCACTAAAATTGCATTGTATCGTTTGAGAGTGAAATGGATGTGCAGTTCTGTTTAAAATGAGTTAGCCTCATATGGCTCGAACTATTCGTTTATACTTAGTGCCTGTGATACCGTCTAATGGAAATATGCATTATCTGTGTATCGATTTGTGTTGTACCACTACAATTCTCAACTTTACCTCTCTGTCTATATATATATATATATTTCAAACCTGTTTCTGCTTAATTATTTAGGATGACACAAAATACCAACATTCCTGTCAATTATCCAATGATGCCACAAATGGACGATATGAATAAGTATGCACATTTACTACAAGTTATTGAAGAAATGGGCCGTGACATTAAGCCGACTTATGCCAACAACAAAAATGCTGCAGAAAGATTGAAGAAAAATATCCATACTGCTAGAATTTTAGTCAGAGAGTGTGTTTCGGAACTTGAGCGTGTAATGAGGACGTAAACGAATGTCCTTTGGTTGTCAAGAATAAAATTTTATATATTCTCTTATTTGTGTACCCGAAGGCTTATATTTATTCTTGTACTTGGCTGAAACATCATGTTGTGTAATTTCAACATGTTGATAGCTAATTCCAACTGACTGACCAGTCAGCATAGAGGTGTGCACAGAAATGCATTATTTTACCTTATTACGCATGAAACGGAAAAGTAACATAAAGGAATTGATATTAAGCGATACTGTCATAGACAGTCATAAGTGTTAAAGAGAGAATAGTCGAATAAAGATTAGTAAAGCTTTCAGGAATACACCTCTGTCTCGACTTCAACTATGTCTCTTCGAGTCTTCGGGTTTTAGCTCCACTTAAACAGTTAGCACTGTCCAAAGTGGCTTACACCAAGTCAGTGAATTTTAGTCTGGCTACTGTTTCTTGTTGAAGCTAACATTGTTTATGAGTTAAGAAACTAAAACCTTTGTACAAGTTTACAGACATAAGGACAAATGAACCGGGTAAACATTGTTGAAAAAAAAAACAGATGGGAGGACGTATATTGTCAAACACATACGTGTTTTGAACTGTATTCTGTTAACAACTTAATCACACACACACACACTTTTCTGGTATAAAGTTCTCGTATTCTCCTATCTTAGTGCTTTGGTGTTAGAGAAAACAGTAATGTTGTTAGCAACGACTATTCCTTAACTGCTCTGGATATGTAACTGTAAAACTTGAGGTAGATGTTAAAGAAGTGTCTCCTGTTCACTGATCTCATTTAAACAATTTGGTAAAATATTTGATACCTTTGAGCTCTATCGACCAAGAGCCATGTGTGCGTCTTGATGTGTAATTACCTAACCAGTATTTACTCAGGTTTACTGCTTGGTTTATATTTGTATAGCTGTCTTTGTATTTCCCACACTCCATGTATGTTACTGATCGGCACCATTTTCCGCTCAACAAAATGTTTGTTATTTGATTGTTTTACCTCAAGTTTTTCTATAACTGCTGATAAGTATTTGTGAGTAACTATTGTCTTAGAAATCTGGTAGATTAAGTAATAATAATTAATGTTGTGAGCCGTTGGTTCAGAGGCAACCTCGCATATAGCCGGAATCCGATTCCGGACCGATGCACTCCTAAAAACTCACCTAGCAGGTAGGGAACCCGGGAAGGAGGGGAGATTGAGTGTGAGATTAGGAATCCCACTCTGTAAAAACAACACAACCAGTATCGGGACTTCGAAGCTTAGCGCTTGAAGCCTTATGTCTACTTGGAACGCAAAGGAATGAAAGAAAAATACTGCAAGGTTTGTCGTATATAATATATCCTGCGTGTTTAGACTGATGTACTCCTCATGACAGTGAATGCCATTCAAAGCAAAAAGGTTTAAGAGCTCTGTTCATTTAAGTTTCCCTTTGAATGTATAGCAACTAATACAACCGAACCAATTACATTCATATAAGCTAATAACAATAATTCCACAATGGACTAAATTTATTTGATAAAGTCCCACAGTGTTATACAGTATTATTTACTGATCATCATCACTGTATGCGAAATTCTGGTACGTTACATGTACTTTAAAATTAGTTTCCAAAATGGAGTTAATTGGTGGACTCGTTCTTCTAACAAATTTCGCCCTATAAGCTTATAAATATTTCTAAACCTTCAACTGAGCTTCTTTCCATATAGCGATGAATTCACATACAGCTGTTTAGTGATACTTCTGACTTTTACTTCTAGTGTAACTGATATATCTGTAAGCTTTAAATTCTCATTAAACAAATGGCGAGTTTCTTGAGCTATTCTGTGTTCCTGATCACTTCAGCCTTCTACGGTGAAAACATATTGTCATGAATTGGCAGAAGTTAGAATTCATGCACTGGGTCCCAGTGGCTTAATAGTCTACGAGCTCGCCTTGTAACCAGAAGATCCTGGGTTCGAACCCTGGTGGTGGGTGCGTACTGATGAAAAGTCCAAAACTAGGACGAAACAGCTGTCTGGCAGTACTCCCTGCAGGTTTTCCAATGGTACTCTAACTGATGTCAGCTCATGAAAAAATCTTCCAAACAATCAAACAAAAAATATATGAATTACTCTGTCGATGTATATTGCCTACTTAATAATTCAAGGATTCATTTTAGTTCAAGGTGAATGTTACTGTGAGCAATTTCTAATGAGATTTAAGCCCACTTGAAACAGAAAATTTTGCGTGAAACTCACGGCCAGAAGAAGAATGAGATATAATTTAGTTGCCTTGCGTATGGATACACAACTAACAGTGAGATAAGGATATTATATGATGACTGATCGTAAAGCATGACTGACCAAACTTCAAAAGACAAAAGCATGACCGTGGTTGAAGTCGAGGAGGTATACCAACGTCACAACAGACACTTTAGTTAGATACGAGTCATTTATTGAAGGACGAAACATATTTGTCCTTTTACTTGAGAGTTAGTCATTTTGTTCGTGTTGCTGAATGTTAGATTAGCGGTACTTGTATGATTGTTTTAAATTTAGGCAGTATATTTCCGGAATTGAATACGTACTGTTTTGTATGTATTATAACAGGAAAGCACCCTACTCCTTTTATGTTTTAAATATAAAGATTTCCCTTTTTTCGAAATTCAAAACGCGTCACTACTGAAGATGAATTTGTAACAGACAGCATTATGATAACTTCCGGAAGTTGTAGATTATATCAAAAATACACGTTAAGTTGTTTATAGCTTATTGTATAAAAGTTGTATCTGATCCACTGACAATTCTAAGTCATTCATGTCTTTTCTTAATTTCTTACTTTCAAAGATTTCATCGACTGACGTGAGGCTTTTGTTTGACCACCCCTAACCTTTTTCCAACCTAGTCCTATGTCAGTTAACACTGCTTATCGAGGGAGGTGGTGGCTCGGCATGCGCAACACGTGTCCTAGTCATCTCAATCAAAGTAGCCTGACAACGTCATCGACTAAATTATCCTTGTTAAATAACACTACACATAACCTCGAAATTGCTTACCATATTGTACCAATCAACACGGTAAATAGAACGTAAACCTCTGTGGTCTAAGACTGGTAGCCTTTTCATCATATCTCCCACTGTCAATGGGTGTGTCTCTACCGTAAACATCGAGATCTTTGTCTCCTACACAGATCAGCCCGAAGTGGTTCAAACACAGCATCCCAATGTTTAAATTACACTTAATACCAAACTTTGGATTTGTTGTATTGTATTTGTTTTGTCTTTTAACAACGCTCAAGTACGTGATTCTTGCTTACGAACTGTCTCCATGCCTGTACATATCTTCACTCTGTTACCCTATATAAAATTAATACCTCAGTATCCGAATCAAGTAAAGCTATGTGCTCTTCTACTGACGGCGTATTTGTTTTTGGTTAGAATGAATTTGACTTGTCAAACTGTAGATGGTATTTTGATTTGTAAAAGCACAGGACGTATTCTTCATTTACCAAGTTCTTGGCTTATTTGTTACCAACCAGATCGATCGATAAAGCTTTCCTTAACCTTTCGTTTACAGAACTTATCGCTCTTCTAAGTAAATCGATCTTTCGATTTTGTCCTGCTGTCAATTAGGCTAAACTACTAGTGCATATCACTTTTAGTGCAATCAGTCAATTTCTACGAAATAAAACCTATCCAGTCTTTACAACCTATAGTAGCAGCGAGGTAGTTTTTTGGAGATGCATGCGCAGATTCTATAACAACGCACTCAAGTAAATCTTATCCCAGGTGACCAGAAAAAACTACTGAACCACTACCTAGAATTTCTAAAGTAGTACGTTTTGAAGCAACTGCTGTTATTGGGTAAGGAGATATTAGAGGTTACATAAAAGGTTTGGCGTAGACAACGGAACAACCGTACTCTATTTGGCATGCAGCTTTGTGTAAGCGGTAAATTTGTTGTAATGCCAAAAAATCAATAATACAAAGTTCAAACCCTTATGGCGAATACGTACTGCATCCTTCTATGCATTCATTTTGAGCTAGCTATCACGAGAAGTCACCTAGTCGCGTTACGCCGATTTCATCCAGACACACACACCTATGAGGATAATTAAGTCGGCATTACAGAGATTGTTTCGATGCGATAAAAAAAGTCAAGAAGATGATATTAAGCAAGTTTTATGTTTCTTGTGTTCAACACCATTGAAAATACAAAAAAAATCTCAAATAGTAATTGGTCGAAATTAAAATCAACAAAATAATAAATACAATATTAGGATAATTTAAAAAATGAAGAAGTAACACGTTAAAAATACGCGAAGACTTTTATCTTCAAAGCACAATAATAATAAATAAACGAATAAGTATGAACACAAACATCTGGGGAAAAATAAAATTATCTACATAAGGTGAAATAGATACTTGACAATTAAACACTCTGAAATCTTAAATATCTAGCTATACAATACAATTGCATATTATTGTTATGTACAAGGCATAAATATACAGAACTACTGTTTAAAAGGAAGTAGTTAATCTACAGGAATTTAGTAGCACCAGGTGACAAAGTAATCATAGCAAACTTTGTAAGGACAGGAATAGGATCGTTAGGTGTTTTATCCAAAAATGAAGAATTCGAATTATTCGATTGCCTTCGCTTCTTAATTGGTGTACATTCATCAGAACTATTTACACTGTTACCATAATATTTAAATGCTGTTCCATCTGGAATCGGTGATAGTTTGACCTGAACAATTGGTAATTCATTTTCCATTAACATATTTAATTTAGGCGACGATGGTGAAGAAGTGTGAGTTTTTGACGAGCAATACTTTGTTCGACCAGCTGGGAAAGATCTGTCCGATTTGATTTTATGATTGTTTGTCTTACTTTTATGACCACCACCATCATCTGCATATTTGTCTGATGTTACCCACATATTATAACTGTTGGCAACGAGTGTTAGTGCTGAACGTAGTCGTTGTTTAATATTATCTGGAACAACTAAACATTCTTTAGAAATAATATTGATACTCAATGAATCAATGGTTTCACGTGTTTTTTGGGGAGGTATGTGACACTTGGGAGTTTCCGAAGTATCCGGTGTTTCACCAGAGTCAAGATCTACTGGTAA